AAGATACTAATCTTTTGAAGTATTAAATTTCTATCAACATTTATGAAAAAGAAAGTTTTTCACAAATATAAAACACTTAAAAAAAATAATTCAATTTTTTCAATAATTTACAGTTCCAAGAATTTTTAGAAACATTTCTTTTGAATCATAGACAAAAATACATTTTTTACTTTTTTAAATCGTTTTATCAGACGTAAAATTTCCCAAAAACCAGCCCTTCTACTTTCCACTTTTACTACCAATAGCGTTGACAGACTTCGTCAATATTTACCACCCAAAACTATCGCCAAAATTCCTCCTCGCTCATAAATCAGCCCACGCGCGTTATCAAATACCCCAATTGAGGTCTTTTGCCTATATATAGCCTTAGTTATGAATGGTAGTGACCCAATGTCGCGGTACCAGAGGTCATGCAGTGACGCAAAACCTACCTGTGGATTGGGGGTAAATCCACGTGCAGGTCGGGGCTGCAGCAGACGCACACACTTAACGGACACGAGTCGACTGACTTGGAGCAAAGCTCATTCCTGGGGCTATAGATAGCCACGGCTCGGATATCACACGTAACACTTTGCAAAACGAGGATATCGCAGGATCGGGTGGGTCAGGAGTGACCCATGCTGGGCACCAGATGGGTTGGGAGTGTGCTGGAAGGGTTGAAAAGGGAGAAAATTGCAGGTGCCCAAAATAGACAACTATTTTGGGATGAGGAAGGTGTAGATTGCCCACTTGGAGCCGGAAAGGAAAAATACTACATAGAAATTTTTTCTACTATTATAGGAAGATGATTAATGTGAGAGAATTAGAATAAAGTAAACAAAATTAAAAATAGTCAAGTAATAAATGAAGTTTTCTTTTCAAAATTTGACTTCTCTCTCAATTAGAAATGACGTCTTCCATTTTTTGCAAAATGATGGAAACCGTGTTTCGTTTCAAGGTAATTTACAGAAATATCCATTTCTTGAGAAAAAAATTGGCAAGGATCCCAGTGTTAGATTGCAAAGTGTGTAAGTGGACATCTTCTTTAAAGTTTAAAGTGCATTTGACATTATTGAGAAATTTGATGTTATTTATTATGTTTGTGACAGAAATAGGTCAACAATCTAACAATATATTAATAATAAAATTTGCACGGGATGAATAAATGGACTATTTTTAGAAAACATGAATAAAGAGAGTTAAATTTAGAGCGATGAAAGTCGTAATCGTCCATCATTCTGGAATTACTAATTCCACGTGTTATGGAGACAAATACCGTTTTGTGATTCATTTAAGCCAAAATTGTGATCATTTTTCCAAATTCCAGATGTGCAAGCTGTTAAAAAGAGCGATGATGGAATGTATTTTTGCACACTAAATTTCCTGTGTTTATAATTAGAAGATAAATAGTTCAAACTTTCGTTTATTGGTGTTAAAACGTCGTGTTTTCCTCTTGTAGGAGTTGCATTGTTGCGAAAATAAAACCGTTTCAAAATTATTTATAGCGAAATGACTATTAATCCGTTCTCTCTTATAAATAACTGAATCACTTGATTATTATTAATGCTGTTGGAAAGTGGAATCTTCAAATATATTATAATGCGTATCAGCAATAAAGTCAATCTGGAAAATAGAATAAATCTAAATGCAAACCTCAAAATATCGCATCTAACTTTTGCAGCGTTCACGTGAATCATCTAAACATTAAAAATATCTGGATTTTAGAACGAAATGCATGTTTTATTACTGCAGAATCGATAATCACCTCGTTGTCCAGAATTTCTGCGCCAATTCTTTATCTGTAAAAATTGAGTCGAAAATTTTTGAAATATTATTGACGAAATTTTAAACATTCTTAGTCTGAAAGCAATTTTTTTATTTAATTATCTCTATGCAATCACTAGCTTTTTTCTGTATTACAAATTACCCTAAAATTACAAAAACACCCTGTTTAGGAAGGTCCTCAAATCTGACTAAGAGATTGCAAGATTGTGACCTGACTGATTTGATATTGACATATACAAGGTGCGCTAAAACTCGTGCCCCAGAGAAAAATGCCACGTAAGGTAAGACACTAGGAACATCTATGAAAATCTATGAAAAATCTATGAAAATTTAGAAATTTTTGTACCTTTCTAAATAATTATAAAAAACATATACAAAATTGTCAGTATCATTAAAGACATAAAAGTGTCAAATGTTAAAAAATAAATGTCAAATTTTTTTAACAGATAGAATTTTTTTAAACATTTTTTCTATGTTCCTCTCCTGCTGTCTTATCTTACTTGACATTTTTTTATGGGGCGTTAATTCTGACACACCCTGTATAAAGCTTATTTTGTTTTTTATTCAATATCTATACATACAGTATGTCCCCGGATTGAGTTTACAAGAGAAAAAAAAAATTATCTTTGAATTTATATCAAAACTGCAAAGGAAAAACATTTTTTGCTTTACTTGAAACGAGTAAATCTGTAATTAAAACTTCATTTTTCTAATTCAGTGAAAAAAAGTTCATTTTCTCCTAATTTTTCTCTGCTTTTTAGTCCTATCACATTGGGTTTTTTTTTATTTTGACAATGATGTCACTTTGACAAATGAGTATACGCAAGTTAAATAACAAAAATGTTTGTGAAAAACATAATTTTAATAAATAGCAACTCAAAGAAACAACTTTAAGATAAAGAACAAAGTCATTTTTAACAAAAACCATCATTGTTTAATTAATAAATTATTGTCAAAGTGACATTGTTGTCAAAAAAATAAAACCGCCAATGTGTTGGGATTTAAAACCAGAGAAAAATTACCTATTCTAAGTTCAAAATTAAGAGAAAAATTAACTTTTCTTTTTACTGAATTAGTTTCAAGTAAAGCAAAAAATGTTTTTCCTTTGAAGTTTTGGCGTAAAATTAAAGATATTTTTTTTTCCTCTTGTAAACTCAATCCGGCGAGATACTGTATATTGACTAGGTCAGTAATTTATTCACAGCCAAATATAGTTCTAATAACGTTCAAATTCCACAGAGTGATTTACATAAAACTACAAACTTGCTTACAATCAAAATTGTCCAAAACATAATGACAAGTTAAATTATTATTAATTTTTTTGAATCAAGTCACCTAAGGTTAATATCAGGCTTTAAGTTTTATATGAATCACCCTGTATAATGCTTTATTCAAAAATTTTTTATGTAAACAATACTTCTTGTGGGCAGCAATTTTAATATTTTTAAAAATAATTTTGGCTTCTTGTCGGTACAACAGGTTTCTGGAACGTTACATAAGCGCGTAAACAGGCCGAAATTACGTTCACAAACATCCTTTCCCCGTTTATGTTGAAAGATTAACTGCCAGATTTTCAACCTAAGTTAATCCATTCCTTATTTATCGTTTCATTCACTTCCAAATAAACACAACTTACGTCGAAATAGTCGTGAGCTTCGTCACAAGCGTCCAAAAAAGCTTGAGCTTGTGGTTCGTACATGTAATAATCGACATGCTTATCGAAATCGCGTTCCAGTCTCAAAAAGGCCTTGCCTAACAAATGGGGTTCATTGGCGTAGTACTTTACACCTTCCATCAACACCCTAAAAAGAAAATTAAAAAAAAATTATCAAAAATACGAAAAAATTACGTTCGATGAAACTCGGCAATTTCTTTCAAATTCCCGAAAATAATATCAAAGTTGTCTCGAATGACTTTTGGCACGTTTTTGGTCTCGGACAGGAGGAGGTACTTTTGGACGACAAAATCCAGGTCTTTGACGAATTCTTGTTCGGTTTCTACCAACTCCTTGACCACGGCTCTGAAAAAATCGTCAAAAAAAGTTTAACAGTTTTGGGACGTACTGTCTTCGGAAGAGGGCATCTCCTGGAAGTCCTGCGCCCCCAGGAGTCGGGTCATCAATAGTTTGCAGGACCTTGCAAGGCACCCATCCTTGCTTCTTCGAGCCGGTGATTTCACGCACCAGCCATCTGGCGCTCAAGTTCAGTCTCGTAGGGGAATGTCTGGAGCTTAAATGTGTCCTTCGGGGCTTCACCGAGAGCTTATGACGTGCTGCCGAGCTGTCCAAAAGCTCGCCGGTGACGGTGTCCAACTCAGGATCGAGTTTTGGTTTCCTGAAAACAGTTCTATTTTTCAGGGAAATCATCTAGAGGAATTTTACTTGGACGCCACCACCGGGTCTTCAGTGTCGATTAATTCGACTACATCGCCTTCTTTTAGTGTGATTTCGTCCGAACTGCAAGCAACGTATTTCTGCCAGGCGACTAGAATCTCCCCATTTGTCTAAAAATCATCGAGAGTTATTTTACATTAAAGAGGAGTGGTTTTCGTGTGACTTGTTTTGCCAATTGAGCCTAAACTGCACATCAATACCATCGAAAAGAAGAAGATTTTAGTCATGATTCACGATTTTTGAGTACCTAAATTCCCGATTTAGTAAAAGTAAATCGTCAATCACGACTATTCTGTTTGAGAGAAAAGTCAGAAAAGCAGCACTAACAAGCAATGAAGGTCTCTAACATACTGGCTGGCGTAAAACGAATATCATTATTCGATTTAGAAAAATTTGGTCCTTCTTCTCCTCCGTGTGTTTTTGTGTGGCGCGACTATTTTATCTATAAATAAACAGAAACGATTAGTTCATTGTGCGATGTAGCAACAAGTGTTGGGAGATTGTTATTTTCGAAAGGTTGGAGGGTTCGAGAGGCTCACCTCGGTGGTTGAAGTGCGGTGGGAAGCCATCACATTGTTTAGGGACCTAGAAAAATAAAGGAGTGTTGAGCAATTTGAAGCGACTAAGACGGAAAAATCGCAATGCAATTGGGCTATATAAAGAGTGGGTCAGTCAATCGCTGTTAAATATCATACTGTTGGTTGGCTGCCAACAGGAAAGCGGCTCAGGGGTGCCAAGATGCCGAAACTTTCTCCCAGGATTGGGGTTTACTGTCAAAAAAATTTGGAGTTTTGTGACCTACGTTTTCTCAATATCTCCAAAACACCTTTATTTGTATGCATTGATTCGTTTATTCGGTTTTTGCAATTTTTATTATTGGTAATTGTTGTGCTGTAATTGTTTTATTATAATTTTTGTTTGATGTTTTTACTTTTTTTTAACAGTTTTCCTTCAAAACAATAATTAATACAAATTAAAGTGCTATAAAACTTATGATTGTGTTTTAAGAATAAAATTGTGTTTGTTTTTGAGATTTTTTTGCCAAAATAGCAATTAATATAAAAAAATGAGTAAAATGTAGATGGTTGTAATCGTTGAATCGTAGCTTTTGTTAATAACAAAAGGTTTTATAGTGGGTTGCCATTTAAAAAAATTAAAAATTTTACAGAACTCATACGAGTAAATTTCGAAAAATTCTCTGAAAAATTTTATGCTTGATAAAACGTCACATTTTTACATTAATTAGGTACTTTTTTCAAAAAATAAATAATAATTTAAGCAAAAAATGTTTGATTCGATACTTTTTATTCACGCTGTATGTTACAAGATCTTTACGGTAACAAATAAAATTTAGAAGGAGTCATTTTTAGTTTATCCTGATGATGCCTAGTTGAAAAAACACGTGTAAATATAAACTTTATAAGATAATCATTAGAAAATTAGAACTTAATAGAATGCATTTATTATTTTTATTAAAAAAAAAACGTTTCAATCATGGGCGCCGACTTTTCATATTTTCAAAGGATGATTAAACAAAAAATTAATATAATTTGCAGAATTGAGAACAATTACGCAAAAGAACAATTTCGTCTTCCCTATGGTTCCTGAATTTATTGAATTTAATATTTAGAAAATTTAAAAATAATATAATTTTTTGTATAGTACAAGAGAAAAAGATCAATAAATAACGTATGCAATGAAAAGTGTCAAGAAAATAGTACATGTTCAAAGTTGCAAAATGCTTCAAATTGTTGAATTTTGAAAAATAATACACTTCTGTTAAATGTGAAAAAAAATTGAAAACAATAAAAAAAATTACTTTTTTCTATTAACGCAATTAATTTGAGATGAGTAAAATTAGGGTATGCGAAAGCTAAATAAAAAAAACTACCTTTCAAATAGATTTTTTAGATCTAAATACGACCATTTTTCATTGAGGTACAATATTGCAAAAATCATCAGAAAATTTTYGAAATTTGTTTGTTCTCTAAATTTTTTGGAATAGTAAAATGTTTTGAAGTTTTTGAGATAATAAGAAAACTTTTTTCAAGGAGTTTTTTACTAAAGAGCTTAATTTTTAATTAATTTGAAAAATGGAAAAACAAAATATAATAATAACATAAACGATGAATTTGATCCATTTTCTCGAAGACGAAAATAGAAAGATAGAAAATTTAAGACATCTTTGACATTAAAAGTGATTTTAAAGAATGCAACGTTACTAAAAAAAGATTAGAATAAACACGAAATTACAAATTTATGAAGAATTACTACTATTATTTTTTTTACCCTAAGCAAGTAGATTATTTTTATTTTTAATAGGTGCCCCGCACCCCCCAATTACTTATATTTTTTATCATTGTGACAATTTTAAAACAGTCTTTTAGTAATTTGATTAAAATAAATTAGATTTAAGAAAATAGAATTGTAATTCGTAATTATTTATCTTTTGTATTTTTAATTTTTTCAATTTTTAGACTGGATTATTCTGATGATGGTAATTTTGTTGTCGAAACACGTTCAGACTCTGCATATTTAATAAGAGTTTCAGTCAGTGGATAATTTTCAGCTATCAAGTTTCAATAAAATAAAATAATTCTTAAGTCAAAAAAATATTGTTTTACTTTTTTATTTTTTTAACATTTAAAAAAATAGCTGCCAGTGATGGTTATTCTGTATCATAAAAATATTATTATTTTAAAATTAAATTGACAAAAAATTATCAATCTTCAAGAGTTTGAATTCTAATGAAACTGTTTAAAACTCGAAAACAGTTTGTTTAAATGCCAGATCCGAATATTTTGCAGGGAAAAATAATGCATTTGATACACTAATGATGTTGGCATTTAGTCAAATTCCTGAAAAAATCTACTCTCTTGAGTGTATTTTGATTGCTATTTATGTAGTAAGCTTTAAAAGAATTTAATTTGTCACAAAAATAAACACATTAATTTTTTTCTGTTCAAAAACACAACATTTTTTTAAGTAGACATTTCAACAACAAAAATGTTTCAGGAGATTAAATATCCCACAAATTTATTTTTTATTTGATTACAATATTTGAGAATGCTAGAATATTTTAAGACAACTGTTATGACACATCAGAAAAGCAATTATTGTTTTTTTTTATTTTTTTTGTAAATGATTTCAGTTAGAAATGAGCACAACCCTGTCAACAAATCGAAAACCTCTCAATTGTTCTATTTTTGGTGTTGGTATTTCGATTTCCAAGAACGCAGTCATGGTTAAAAATTAGCCACGAAAAGGCAAGTCAAATTTTTGGAAAAATACTCTAGTTTTAACGTAATTTTATTGACTCACACTCACACCTATTTAATGACACGAAACACACCACAAACAACCACCTATAAATAATATGATCAAGTAAGCTCCTCGCGAAACACTGGCGAATCGCTCGACGCTCACTAGATCCCTCGCATCTTATCCGAGTTATTCTCGGATGCTGTTTTGCACTGCTTGTGGACGTCGATTCAAATTCCAATTATTGAAAAAAAATCTACTATAGTAGAGTAATAATTCAATAAAGTCAAGATACGACTAGTCAAAAAGTAAAGTCGAATTATAAATAGGAAAAGTGATGCAACACTGTGACAGCTTCGACGAAAGACAGAAACTCTCTCCATCTAAAAATAGCCAAATTTTCGTCAGTATTTTATATTATGGCGGCAAAAGTGTGGACCAAAACTAAAAATTTGTACTAGAAAAGTGCTATATTTAGTAGTTGAAAGAGCTTTTAAATTGACTACGTTTATAGAATTATGTAGTTAGGGATTACAAGGCATTTTTTTGATAAAACACCACTTTTGAAAAACAATAATGTTAATATACAAGGTGAGAAAACACTGATTGTTTGCACTCTTTGATATTATGTATAAAAGTTACAAAATTGTTTCATTGACAAAAAAAATGTAAAAAAGTACTTTGTACTTTTTAGTAAATTGAAATTGAATCTGAAAAAAGTTTTGTTATTAGAAGATTTTTTCATTTTTTTTATATTTATTTTTTTCTTAGGTACTTAGATCTGTATAATAAATTACAACTTATAAAGACTACTTAATATGTTAGTAATAAGTGTAGTATATTAATATTTTCCCCTAATGACAATGAGAATTAAGTTTTAAATCAGTTTTTCCTCTTTGGATGGTGGTAATTTTAAAACCAGAGGCTGAATTCAAAAACCAACCAAGTTTTTAGACTCTGTATATGTATGTTAAACAACAATTAACCAACTACGAGCTTCTCTGAGAGTTACGACATACCGTGTATATTTTTTTACTTTTAAGTCCTTTTTTTTTTTCTTGGTTTTTGAACTTTTTTAATTTTTTTGATTTTTGTTTGTTTTTTATTTTTCCTATTAGTTTTTTTGTGTTTTGTTTTTTGATTTTTTTTTGATTTATGGATATTGCTGATTTTTGAGTTTCTTTAATTTTTGAACTTTTTTCATTTTTAAATTTTTTTGATTTTTTAACCTTTTCAATTTTTGATTTTTTTGTTTTAGAGATTTTTTTTATTTTAGAATTTTTGAATTATAAATTTTTGGATTTTTGAATTTTTTTTGATTTTTGAACAACTCCTTAGTTGTTTTCCTGATCTACCAAATGGCGTTGATTCCATCTTTATGTTTCAATTAGAAGCCGAGATATTGAAAATTGTTGATTAATAAAAAATGAAACATGAACAAGTATTTTTTCATCGTCTAAACTCTAAACGGTAAAATTGCATTTTAACATGCAGTAGAGTAGATAAAATTCAATTTTAACATAAAAATTAATTTAAAACACTTTACAGTGATTTATATAACTACTTTGAACACATTCATCGTTGATAAACTGATGTTTTGGACATCATTGTATAAAACTTTATTAAAATTTAAATTTAATTTGTGAGGTTAATAGTTGTCATTATCAAACCTATGAATAAATATAATCTGCTTTTTGAATCAAATGTTTTGTGGAAATTGCATTTTGGTTGGCACTAAAGTTCTTAGTTTTTGTAAATCACACTGTATTTAACCTACTGTTACTGATTAATAAAGAAAAAATTGTAAAAACTGCTTTATTGTTGGTTTTTAGAAAGCCAAGAAAAGTTTTATTTTCTACGCTCGTTCATAACAGATTTTTTTTCGAAAACGAGAGTGAAAACAAGCTTATTCTCAGTATTTTAAAACGGTCTTTTTTAAAATTCTTTATTTTTATGGAGCTTGCAATTTACAAAAAAAAATATTTTCAAATTAAGAAAAAAAATATTAATAAGGGTGTATTTTATTTTAAAGAACATATTTATAGATTTCTGAAACATCGCATTTATTTCAAAATAATTATAAGATATTATTTAATCAATTAATTAAGGTGTTATAATTGGAGGGAATTTTTGTTTTTTTTATTGTTGCGCCTTTTCGCATAACTTGGGAACAAATTTGACTCTCGCGACTAGAGATCGCTTTTTGGCAGGTTGTCATTTTGACGTTTTGTTGTCCGAGCCGTTCTTAGCCTTGATGTGGCATGAAACCAAGCGCTCTTTTACAATAATATGCAAAAAAATCTACTCAAAATTCTAGGAATCAGCGTAATAATCCTCACAATTTCAGAAGCATCTAAAGTTAAGGACCAACCAAAAGATCTCATCGTAGCTAAACGCTCTCTCCTCGAAAGAGAACGTGAGTTTTTCAAGACACGTCCTATGAGTGAAGATCTCCGTTCTTTCATCCAAAGATACAAACGCAAAAACCTCGACAAGAGACAAACGGAGAAACGAAGCAAACGGTCGCAAGGAATCGCCGAGAACCAATTGTACATCGTCCAGAACGGCCAATTGGTGCCTTTCAAAAACATGAAAGGGTTCAAACGAAGCGAGGAGAAGAAACCGGAACCGGAAGGGTTCACAGTGGTACCGTTGGTGATCCCCATCAACTTGAAAAATCCCGCGGTGAAATTTGTCAAAGCGAGGATGTTGAGTGAGGAGAATGGACAGCCGAAGGAGCAGGGGGGCGGTGGGGGCGGCTCTCCGGAGGTGAGTACTGTTACATCTGCTAAAGAGGGGGAAAAACCCCAAGGGGGCGAAGAGCCCGTCACCGGTGAAGAGGACAATACTAATAATACGAAAGAGGAAAACGCAGTGCTGCATAAAATTTTACAAGATGTGGAGGGGCTAATGCAGTGGAAAAGTGAAGGGAATAAGAAGGAAGGTAAAGAAAACATTAAAAACAGAAATAAAAATTCAAATAACTCAATCTAGGAGTAATTTGCAACATCAACGGTTCTTGGATAAGTGACGCCGCCGGTATGCGTTTTGACATTTGCTATCAGAATTCTACACGTAAAAAATTTCGCATCCATCTTGCTGATCGCATCCCACCGAACGAAGATGGCTTCCTCTGTGATGGAAATTGGACCGTTTTCGGGGAAATCCCCTTCATGCATTCGGGTAAAGTCGCCACCAGTCACGTGATTCAACAAACCAATCAAACCAGTTTGAAATCACGTGACCTTAACCTTGCTAACTTGATTTTCTTATTACGAATAAACAATCAGGATTTCGGAAAAATTCTTGATCATTGCTTTAGAGCTTTGGATAAAGGTGATGCCACCATTGTGACATTGTTGGATTTTTCTAAAGCATTTGACACTTTAGATCACTCACTTTTGTGTGCAAAATTATCTTTTTATGGTTTTGACAACATTTCAAATTTTTTTTAATTCGTACCTTACTAATAGGAAACTAATTGTTACAATTGGTCCCTCACAATCAAGAGCAGAAAATATTAGATCCGGTGTTCCGCAAGGTTCAATTTTGGGACCACTTCTATTTTTAATATACAGCGCAGAAATATTAAAATCGGTAAAATATGTTAACATCCATGCCTTTGCAGATGATACACAGTTATATTATCATTTTGATCCTGATCTAAATGAAATTTTCTTATTGTCTAAAAGCATTGGTTTAAATTTAAATTCGAGTAAATGTTCATCAATTTGCATTTCCACAAGAAATAAAAAAATCAACCGGAAATTATTCTCAAAATTGGTAGTATTGAAATAGGTATCTCAAATTGTATAGTGTAAAAAATCTTGGAATTATAATGGATTCGGAATTACGATTTAGAGAACATGTCAACTTGATTGTAAAGAGGTCTTATATTGCATTAAAAATGTTATATTCCAATTATCACATTTTGAATTTTAAACTTCGAAAAAAACTATGCGAGTCATTGGTGCTTTCCAACCTTAATTATGGCCCCATCATTTATTATTCATGTTTAAATTATCAATCTAAATATAAATTACAAAAAATACAAAATTCGTGCTCTCGTTTTATTTACAAATTAAGAAAATTTGACCATGTATCTCATAAAATAAAAGAACTTGGTTGGCTGCCGGTAGACCAAATATACAGGGTATTTCGTTTTTATTGTTACAAACTTAAACAGGTGATAGAATATTCAATTTTAAGAGAAAAGTTTCCTATGAACATGTATCAAAAATGTTACGTAAGCGAGCTCCACCCCACTGAAATAGATGCGTTTTTAATGGGATTTTCCCACTATTGCAGAATAGATAAAATTACAAAAGTTGGTACAGCTGATTACTTTTAAACACCTGAACGAATTTAAAGATCAGTTGTCGAAATTTTTAATCACGGGTGTCTTAACCAGTGAAACAAATTTAATTTTTATCCTCTTTATGGTTTGTAAGACAAATTGTAAACTGATTTTATTCAACAACGGTAAGTTGTATCGAAAAAATGCAACAAATCTTTTTTTGTGTGGCAAGTACCAATAGTCAAAATAGTTAGAGTACTTTTACTTTTTTGACACATGTATATAGGAAAGTTTTATCTTAAAATTGAATATTCTATCACCTGTTTAAATTTGTAACAATAAAAAGCAATAAAAAAAGCAATGTTTAAAAGATCTCTCTCTTACAATACAATAAAGTTATATAATTCTTCTCAAATGAGACAACAAAGGTTTAAAGAAAAACTTTCAGTGAACAATTTTCGCAAAATGATAAAAATACATTTTTTGAACTTCTAGTTTTTTACTTTTGCTTTTTGTTATTTTCTTATTGTTTTAATTCCTGTTATACTTAAGTAGTTTTTCTTAATTTTAGTTAAACTGTAAAGCAATTTTTCATTTTTCTTTTTGTTTTGTTTAGGGGGTTAAGTATGAATAACTGTTGCTAGACTTCGCCTCCCGAATTGTATTTACTTGTGCTTACAATTCAAGAAAGCCGCTTTTTTATTATTATTATTATTTTCAGGCATGGTGATTGCTCTAGCGGTGCATGAGAAAGACCGACATCTTGCTACTTTTATAGGTAATTTTTTCTTTCTTTTTCATTGTTTTGGTAATATTGTGACTATAGGGGAGTGTCGAATTTGCGAAGGTAGTGAAACCGTGACGGGCACGTGGCTGGTGGCTCGAAGTTCGCGCGATTGTAAAGACCAAAAATCGGCACATAAGGTTTTAAGCGACGTTTGGAAACGGGAGCAAGCTCATACTTTAAGGAAGAAACATTTGCAAAAAATCGGAATTACGGTGGATGGAGAAGATTAAATCGCTCAATCGTACTTATTTGTATATTTATATTATATTCTACCAAACTAATCTTGCTTTAGTTTCGTTTTTTTGTGTGGGAGAAATGAAAGAAAAAATCAATAATAAAGAATTTATTGAAACAAGCTTAGCTGACAGTGTGTTTACAAAACTTAAATTGTTACAAGATGATACATGAAAAGACACTATATATACATTTAGACTTTTTAAAATATATGAAACAATAAACATAAAAAATAACAATGTCGTAGACAAAAATAAAAGGCACATTGTACCTATTTACAATTTTATTTCTTACATTTATTTAATTTATTTACTACCTAGCTCATCAGTTAGTGTGGGACTTAAATGCCGCTCTCCCATAATATTATTTCCATTAACTATAGGGCTGCCTGCGGAATTAGTTAACGAGTTACCTTGGCACTTATTTCGCAATTCAAAAACTTGCTGAATCGCTTCCCGAAAGCACAAAAAATTGTAATCGATGATTCCTAAACCACCAAATTAATTCAATTCACAAAAACAAGCAATAGTACCTTTGTGGTCGAAATTGTCTTCTCGTAAAATACAGACTAGAGCCAGAAATTTATTGACTTCCCTCAAATACAGAACAGTACCGTTATTTAATTTAATAAGACTAGAACTCTGCTCGTCGAAAGCCGCCGGATCTTGTTCCTCTTTTACACTGAAAACTTGACTACTCAAAATACAAATTAATTTGGCCAAAATTGAAAACTCTAGAAAAAAATTAATATATACCCATAAATCCACGATACGTCAATTACAACGTCGATCATATCGCAACACAGTTCGTAACTTTGCATGTCCACAGGCGTCGAGTCTGTCGCTATGTAGATTTTTGAAACAACATCGAACAAAAATGATTTTTCAATTGCCGAATTCTGAAATCACAAAATTTAATTCGTGTCTGATTCATTTAATTAACACGCACAGTGTTTAAAATATTGAGCAAGTTTTCTAAGGCCGGTAATTGGGGGATTAATTTCTGTACTACTTTGGAGAAAGCTTCAAAAATCGAGTGGTCATAAATCGACGTCAGGTGAAAACTCAGATGAATTTGGTCATAACCTGAAATCAGTGACATTTGTTACGTGTTGCCAACTTAATAATGGCCTTGAAAGTTTTATAGCAATGAAATTGACTATATGTACCAGAATCGGCCAAATCGTCCGTGGCTCGCTGGTGGATGTCCCTTTGCGACTCCATTTTGAAATCATCGCCTAAACCGTCGACTTTATGAATGAAAACTTCAAATTTTATTGAGGGGTTCACTTTGTATGCTTTTGTGACCGTGAGGTTGAGTTTATTGAGAGCTTCCATGTAGTCGTCCTGAAATTTCGATTGAGTTTCACTGTTCCTTATTCTTGGAGGCCTACCTGGGCATCTATGACGAAAACTAGAGCCCCACAGCCGCCAAAAATCATATCGGAATCAAACGACGAATCAAAAAAATCGATCTGTCCCGGAAAATCCCAGATTTGGAACTGGACAAAACTAGAGTTGTTTATGTCATCCTTAACTATCTTATTTGTACTTTCAAGGAAGAGAGTTTCATTTGGGGACATTTTATGGAAAACGACTTTTTGTATCGACGATTTCCCAGATCTGGAAACCCGGTTTTACGTTAAAATCAAAAGAAGACGCCTTACAAACCCACCTCCTTAGCCCCATGAGAAGTATTCGAGGTTTCTGCTCCCCAGAAGCTGACAGGCTCACGTCGTGGTCCCCGTCAAAGGCCCCATAACCAAAATCTTTAGGAAACGAACTTGCATGCCCATCAAAAGCCCCACCTTCTTCCTCATCTTGATACGACTGAGAACAATCAAAGTTCAGTCAAGAGGCATTGTTTGCGAGTAAAAATAAAAAACCTAACCTAAAAAATGACGAAAAGTTTTGACACATACCATTGTTTAATTTTGTCTGAAATGTTTGGGTTTGTGTTGATTTAAATGCCACGGTGATTAAACATTGCATAAATTACCAAAAATTAGAAAAATGTAAACTTTTGACATCATATGACACTTCTGACACTAGCGCCGCCATTAAAATTGTGAAAAAGAGACAGAAGATGTAATTTTGATTGACGCAAAAGAGACAGCTGCGGATTTGTTTCACACCAGTAGTCCCCAAACGTGATTTTTTTAAGGCGCAAAAAATAACAAACCCAAAAAAGAACAGAATTGGTTAATAAAAACAAAACATACTTTAATAAAACACATGTTAGGGTATACAAACTACTTAAAAAACTGAATAATTGATTCTAAAAGCTTACTTTAGTACCTCTGGTCTAGCAAAATGTCACTTGTCACTTTGACAATCTTAAAGATGTAAACAAAACTCGTTTATCCTTCTAAATTTTTAACTTTCCACGATGGATAACGCAAGTGGCCACACGATGAATCTCGCTAATAGCATAATCGGCGTGAGCATCCTCGCAATGCCCTATTGCTTCAAACAGGTGCCCCCTTAAACACAGTCCCCCAAAGTCTCACATTTCTGTTTCAGTGCGGTATCCTCTTATCAGTACTCATCCTTTTAATCAGCAGCATCATGTCCCGTCTAGCGTGCCACTTTCTGCTTAAATCCGCCATAAAGGCCCGCCGGAAGACCTTCGAGTTCCTCGCATTTCACGTTTTCGGCAGTTTGGGCAAATTTTCCATCGAAATCGGAATGATTGGATTCCAACTCGGCGCTTGCGTGGCATTTTTCGTCGTCATGGGGGACCTAGGACCGGCCATCGTCTCCGAAATGACGGGGGCTGTGGTCGGAAGCGCCCTCAGAAACAGCGTTTTGATAGCCCTCGCCGTCTTCTGTGTGCTCCCTTTGGGGCTGCTGCGCAACGTCGATAGTTTGAATGGGGTGTCAAAGGCCACGGTGGGGTTTTATTGCTGTTTAGTGCTGAAAATCGTCCTCGAGGCTTTGCCCCATATTTTCACCGGCGATTGGGTCAGCGAAGTGGTGATTTGGCGGCCGGCGGGCATCCTCCAGTGCTTACCCATCTTTTCCATGGCGCTGTCATGCCAAACGTAGAATTAAAAAAAAATGACAACGTTGCGAAATGTCAAATTTTGCAACGTTGCCGGTTTTTCTCCATAAATAAAATTTGTTTTTCAGGCAATTATTCGAGATCTATCAAGCCATACCAAACGCTTCTTTGGAAAAAATGAACAGTTTGATCAAAATCGCGGTGAATATTTGCACTTGGGTCTATATTTTTGTTGGTGCATTTGGTTACATTGCGTTTTTTCAAAAACCTTTCACTGGGAACGTTCTACTGAGTTTTAAGCCGACCATCACTAGTGATGTTATCAAAATGGGTTTTGTTTTATCACTAGCTTTCAGTTTTCCTTTAGTGATATTTCCCTGTAGGGCCAGTCTCTATTCTCTTCTCTACAAAGGGGTATAATAATTCGATCTTTGTCACACTGTTGTGTCACAGAAACATTTTTTGCAGCCCTATACAAGTCTACATGAAGGCGCCCCCACTAACTATATTCCAGAAGTTAAATTTAAAATGTTGACATTAGTAATAGTTACAGTTTCCTTGGTAATAGGAATAATAATTCCAAATATAGAACTAGTACTAGGTCTAGTAGGGTCAACAATAGGTGTAATGATTTGTGTGATATTCCCCGTCACTTGTTTCATTTGTATTTCCCCTAAAAACACAAACGAACGGATTTTAGCCCAGGTTTGTTTCACTTTTAAACTCACAAAATTTTTTTAAACTGAAATTAGATTATGCTTTTTGTGGGCATAATCGTCATGGTTTTAGGAACGTACGCCAATTTGTACGCTTTTGAGGAGGCGAAACTGAGCATTGTGACTGAAAAAAACCCTCCACAACCTGAAATAATGAAACCTCAAGTGATACAACCTGAAAAACCTGTCGTCATCGACATACCAACAACCAGTACGTAAATTGTTTATTTCTAGTTTGTTTTCTTATTTTTTCTTAGTTAAAGTAGTCGCGAGTGAAGAAAAGAAGAAAAAACCGCCCGATGAAGTCAAAATTGAAGCACCACTTGAAGAGAAGAAAGTTGAGGTGCGTCACGAGCCACCCCAACCTGAAGAAAGAGTGAAAGTTGAAGAGGTGCGTCATGAGCCACCCCAACCTGAAGAAAGAGTGAAAGTTGAAGAAGTGCGTCGTGAGCCACCTCAACCTGAAGAACCGGTGGAAACACCAAAACCGGTTGAAGAAAAGAAGATTGAAGAGAAGCAAGGGCCGGTGGTCGAGCCGGTGCAGCCGCCAGAAGAACCAAAAGAAGATAAAGTAGCGAAGAAGAATGAAGAAGTTGATAATGAAGCAATAAAGAAGGAAGAGACTGAATTGAAAGAAGAAGAAGATAAGAAAGTGAAAGACAGTAACCAGATTTTGATTGATACAATTCAGAAGCAGAATGAGGTTCAGAAAGAAATGGTGGAGCAGCAGAAGAAATTGATTGAGGTGATTCAGAAGCACCAAGAAATTGTCCAGAATAAAGATATAGATAAAGTGAATGAAGAAAAAGTGAAAGCTGTGAAGCAGATTGAGAGTATTGCGAGGAAAGCAATAGAGAGTATCAGTGGGAAAGATGCTAAGCTTGGTCTTCCGAAGAAAGAAGAACAAGAAGAAGGCCAAAAACGAGTTGAAGAAATTCCAAAGAAAAACACTGAAGACAAATTAGTTGATAAAGTGGAGAAAATTGAAGAGAAGGAGAAAATAGTTGAAGAAATAAATCTTGTTAAGAATGAGAGTGGCAATATTAAAATGGTGCCTCTCCCAATAGCCCTAGCAAAAGCAAATAATGTCACACTCGAAAACAAAATTCCTGAACAGAAAGACACTCCAAAAGACAAAGAATCAGAAATAAAAAATATGAGACGAGATATTTTATCAGAAAATGATGAAAACAAAGCGAGAGTTAAAAGAGATGTAGCTGAAGAAAAAATTGATAAATTAAATAAAGCAATGAAGGAGGTTTGTAATGAAATGAATAAGTTAACAAGCACTGAAAAACCTCTCATTAAAATGTTATGTAAACTCTCGGAACCTGAGTTGGTCCAAGCGGACTTGGGGCTCGACCAGAATGGGAAATTTCATGATGTGAAGCCCCAAAAGCGCGATTTGAAACAATTTAGTGAAAAATAAGCTGTGATGTTGTGGCCTGACTGAATTATTTGTATCAGTATTGTAAATATATGATTGTTCCAGAAGTTTATTTTTTTTTAATTGAAAGACTCCTATTGTTGACTAAAAATAAATATCCCTAGTTTTTGATCTAGAAGTCTTAATTATTTCTAAAAATTGGAAGACTGCTGTTGGCTAAAAATAAATATCCCTAGTTTGAGCAGTTTTTTCGAACACTATCATCTCTTCGAAAAATCGATTTTCAGACTTGTCCACTTTGTAAATAAACAAAAGAGAGTCGTTGGGCCCCCGTGTGGCATGGCGTCCATAAATACCCATCTTGTCCTACATTTGAATGCCAGCGATTATGCCGAGAGAAGCGTCGAAGTGGCTGAGCCCAGGCTGCCGGCGTCGCGACGCTGTCAGTATTGTACCGCCTCAGCAGCGTGCGCGTGTCTAAAACCGGACTTTTCGTACAGAAATAGCGTTTTTTGTGGGGTAGTTCGCACAAGTGGGGATTATGTGACCGTTGATTGAGGTAAATGTGAGGGTGGTTGGCACACCTGTTGCCAATTTGCCAAAAATGCCGCTCAATTTGGCATAAGAATTGGAGAAAAAACCGGGTTTACACTTTGCGAGCCAATTAATTTTTTATCTACGATTTGGTGTTGCGTTTCTAATGGATAAATAAATAAAAAGGAGATTTATAATGACTTTAATTGATTCATTCAAGTGTGCAAATAAGTTTTTGGGTGCTTTGTCTGCAAGTTTGGCATTCTGGGCGTCACAACATGTGTTAAACACTTTCCAAGAATGGAGTTTTTGAGTGAATTCTTCGAATAACACGTCTCAAAAAACAAAAGTGTGAATTGAACATGATGGGTTTTACTGCACGTTTTCAAGTGTGGGCTGGATTTGAGTTTCCGCCAAAACAGTTCAATCATTATTTTACTTTCGAACTGATCTTTGTAATTTAGAAGATCCAAGGTTTTCTCTTGGAATTTTATATCAAGATAAATAGAAAATTTATGGTTCTCTTTAAGATTTAAAATGGTACAGATGTACCTACTTCGACTTCCTCTTAGAAACAAATTAGAGAAGTTAAAAATATACATTATTTGACTTGAGAATTTTGCATTTAACAGAAAAAGTGTTAAAAAGAGGTAAATTTGATATTTTAATGCGTTTGAGTTTATCAAAGTAGTTTGTGAGTTTGTTTTTCAGTGTTGACAACTTATATTTAAAGTCAGAAGCCATTTTGGTAAATTAATTATAATTAAAAATGCATAGAAGTTTGCGTTCGAGAACTCCAGTAAGAGTTAAATATACAAAAAATTTTCGTCAAAAAAAACTATAAATAGGTAAAATATTGAGCTATCAGAGTAAAGTATTGGAAGTAGCAGGAATTGGAAAAAACAAACAAAAAATGAGGAAGAGGAAATGCTGGTTTACTTCGTTGACTTAAACTCAAATAAAAAACTTTAGAAACACGTGGTGGTTAAAAATTAAGCATTAAGTAGGTGGAACTTTTAAACACAAACTTATTAAATTTTTATGTCCTAATTATATTCGTTTTCAAATTAATGTGCATCAAAGTAGCCGTTGAAAGGTATTATTTTAAGGTGGCAACCATGCGTAAATTCAAACATGCCTAAACTCAATCTTCCCTAAAAAAAATTCCAAATAAATGTGTACAGTTGGAGACAAAATACTTTGGTCGTCACTTGAGTGACATTAAATTGTAAAGCATGCTTTAGGACTGTTAACCTTATTTTTAGCTAGTTGACAAGTTGTATGTACATATTTTTGATAAGAGAATATAATAGCTGTCATTAATTTGAAATTGTCATTCATTTTAACGTTAAAGCTTGAATTACAATAAAGTGTCAGAAAAGTGACGACCCAAGTATTTTGTCTCCAACTGTACCTACCCCAGGTAGCAATAAAAATATTAAAATTAACAACGTAATTAACATAGGGTAACAAACATGAAGATTTTTGTCATTTTAATGTGATTAGATTTGTGCTGAATGACATTATTAATGACACTTTTTGTGTGAATCGGCCTTTAAATTAAAGATTCGTTTAGACTACTACAACCTACTTGATGCAATTAATTAATGTTTAATTTGTCTTTCTTAAATCAAATCTGTGCTTATAACTTTAGGAAACTACAAAAATTGTTTAAAATGAGCAATAAAAAAAATAAAATTTTCTGTTTTTAAATAAAGTGAAATATTTAAGGACATCTATAAAAGTTTGCCAATATTATTTTGTAATCCGAAAAAATCGTGTAGAAATAAAATAAACGTATGTAAGTAAGTATGTACAGCTGCGGAATTAAAATTCGGGCAGTATTTTTCCGTCACTTTAAAAAGTTCACTGTAAACTACCTTTTACTCTCATCATGACTGGCATTTGACAATTAAACTTTTTTTTATTGTTAAAATTGTTAATTGAATGTCTTAGGAAATGGATTAATTGAATTAAGTGTAATTAAATCATCGCTTTGATCAGCTGCCTACCCGTTATTATGCCACAAATCACTATTTTTGAAAGTAAATAAGTCAAAATGACATAAACATGACAAGAGTAAAAAATGAGGTTATTAATGTAAAGCTTGTTTTAGACTTTACATTATGAAAATAACAATACTGTCTGAAATTTTAATTCCGTAACTGTACCTACTCTACATTTTTTGAATCACGTGTAATTTCGTATTAATAAATTTTTGTGGGTAGTTTTTATAACAAGGTATTAGACTTGCAGTTTTTAATTATTATGATTTAGTTTTTTTTTTATTTTACTGCTTTAGTCATTAATTTAAGCTAAATTTATATGTACTCACATTTTGTATCAGTTTAATTTATTTTGAGGTTTTTTTATTCAGAGTCAAACTTCTAAGAAATGAAACGCATCACAGACCTAAAATACAAATTGGCAAAAAGGAAGTGTTTTCTATAAAAATTAATCAGTTTTCCTACAGAAAATAGTTTTGAATATAACAACGTTGCATGTGAACCACACATGCCAATTCAGAAATTTTCCACAGAATAATTACAAAACGTGTCGCCTTGTCCGACTTTAAAACAGAAAAATTAAAATCCATACTTCCGGAATTCGTAGAATTTAAATCAAGTCAACAGTTTTCCAAATTCCAGGTGCAACTATGGGAAGTTTGATGAAAAAATCATTGGGTGGAAGCATACATCGAATCCGCGAGTTTGAACTTGAAAAAGTAAGTTAATGAAGTCTTGAAGAGTTTTTATTTTTAGTCGTAAACGTTCATCACCATTCTTTTTCAATTTGGACCGAGTTCAATGTCTGTATTTCCATCGATTACGAGAAACTAAACGAAAATGTACGTCTAGACGTAAAAATGGCACTTTTCCAAACTATCCAATGCAGCATTGAATCTCCGCATTTCGCTTTTGGTTAAATTCCACCAAAACCAACCACTTGTGGGCAATTCTAATCAAAATAGTGCGACTTCCAACTTGCTATTGTCATGCCAGAAGCTTGTTTCTAAAATAGCCGAAATGCTTGGCTCATTTTCACGGTTACGGTTCCAATTTCAAATAATTTCAGGTAAATTTAGCCGAAGAGTTCGACATTTTGCAAATCGTGGGGGAAGGATGGTTCGGGAAGATCCTCCTGGTGGAGCACAAGGCCACCGACACTGAAATGGTCCTCAAGGCCCTTCCCAAGCCCTACACTTCCATTAAAGACTTCTACCGGGAGTTCCACTACGGCCTGCACTTGGGGGCCCACAAGAACATCATCACGACCTACGATGTGGCCTTCGAAACGGCCGGATTCTACGTTTTCTCCCAGGAATACGCCCCTTTGGGTAAGCAAAGCGTATTTTAGGAACCGAAGAGGTTTTTCCTTTTGTTCCGCAATAAAGAAGGGCTATAATTAGAGCACGGGTAACAACCTTAATGTTAAATACAAGTATTGGGAGTTCGAATAATTGTATTTATTTGAAAATTGGTACATAGCCATAAGTCCTCCTAAATGAAAATATTTTCAAGATGGCGGCACTTTCCGTTATACCGGAAGTCGGTCTCAACTTTCTTATTTTAAATGGAAAGGTATATTTTTTACTGAGTTTTTTGGATTAATCGGGTTATTTTAAGAGAGTTTTCATCAGCTTTCCCTATACCTAAATTTAGCCGTTTTTGAAATATTTTTGGACCTGTACCTTCCACTTAAAACTTTAAAACGATAACTCTGCCATTTTTTAAGATTTTGAATTCGTTTTTTTTTTGGCGTTTGAAAGAGAAACCTTAGATCCTTTTTTTGCTGTTTTCAAATTTTGAAAAAAAATATATCCAAAATTTTAAGGTTACTTTTGTAATAATTTAAATACTCATAACTCAATTTTTTCAAAAGAAATATCCCAATTTTTATTTTACGAGATAGAAGAGAATTTAATTGTGCATTGATCTGTGTTAACATTCCCTATACCTAAATTTAATAATTTTCAAGTTATGGACTTTTTGTTAAGACTACAGAATATTTATTACTAGCCACACCCGTTTTCACATAGTTTGTTATGGAAATAAAAGATGTCAAAAGTTTCTCTAAACAAACGTCAACAGAAAATTACTATTTGACAAATAGTGCCAAAATATGGAGAATCAAAGTTATGCAAACTTAATTATTATTGATAGGTTCTACCATGCGATCATTATTTAAAGCTAACAAGTGAGAAAAATTTATTTTTTTTAATGACCGACATCATAATTTTGTTACACTCTTCATAAATACAAAATAAATTAATTAAATCTAGGTTTGAGTGGCTTTGACTCTCCATATTTTGGGACTATTTGTCAAATAATAAGTCACTGTCGACGTTTATTGAGAAACAATTTTGACATTTTTGTTTTCCATAGCAAACTACACGAAAACGGATGTAGCTAATAATAGATTTTCGGCAGTCTTAACAAAAAGTCACCATAACTTAAAAATAATAAAATTTTGGTATAGGGAATGTTAATACAGATCGATGCAGAATTAAATTCTCTTCCATTTAATAAAATAAAAATTGGGGTATTTCATTTGGAAAAATTGAGTTATGGGTATTTGAATTATTACAAAAGTAACCTTAAAATTTTATAGTTTGTTATTTTTTTTTTCAAAATTTGAAAACGCTGGAAGAAAGATCTAAACTTTCTTTTTCAAACGCCAAAAAACGAATTCAAAATTTTAAAAAATAGCAGAATTACCGATTTTTAAAGTGGAAGGTGTAGATCCAAAAAATTTTGAAAAACCCCAAATATTTCAAAAACGGCTAAATTTAGGTATAGGAAAAGCTGATGAAAACTCCCTTAAAATAACTCGATTAATCCAAAAACGCAGTAAAAAATATAGCTTTCCATTTAAAATAAAAAAGTTGAGACCGACTTCCGGTATAACAGGAAGTGCCGCCATCTTGAAAATATTTTCATTTATGAGAACTTAATGGTTTATGGCTATGTAGCAATTTTCAAATAAATACGATTTTTCGAACTCCCAATACTTTTCTAATGTGTGGTTTAGACAGAACACCTTATACAGGCTGTATTATGAAAAACGCCCCAAGCCATAACTCCATTATTTTTAAAGTTATGACAATACTTCTTAGAACAAAGTTGAACATTTTTTGTCATCTATCGTTTAGGATAGATGCTAAATTAATGCTGTTTTCTGTTTCACCGGAAATCACATCAACTTTATTTTTTTTAATGGAACACCCTATATATTTTACCACTTTTGAATTCTTTGTTTAAAAAACTAACCGTTCGTGAGATATTCACCAAATAATGTATTTATTAAAGTAGGCAGTGGAAAACAATAATATCAAGTAATGTTGACAAATATTATTCCTTTGCATCTTCTCTTACTGTTTTTATACTTTTTAATGTTAATCATGGATGATAATGTTTTAACAGACATATTTTGAATAATATAAAAATTGTGGGAGAGCACTACGCTTTTACACCGGGTGATTTCTGATGAGAGACGTTCCAAATCGTCGAAACTTTAAGCGACGTAAAAAAAATTTGAGGATGTTTTGGACTTTTAGAAAACCCAAATTTGAACATCTCCAATTTCAAAGAGATACAAAATTAGATAGGTATTGAAGAAAATGCAAGAACATGAATTCAAGAAATTGCAAGTAACGTTGGCTTATCGCACGCAACTGTTCTAATTTGGGTTTTCTAAAAACCCCAAACATCCTCAAATTTTCTTCAGGTCGACGAATTGGAACTTTTCTTATTGGAAACCGCCCAGTGTAAAGATGTTGTTGTCTCCAACTATTTTTATTGCTTTCAAAATATTCTTGAATCATGTCTGTTAACACATTATCACCAGAACACCAAAAAGTATAAAAATAATAAGGGAAAATGCAAAGTAATAATATTTGTCAACATTACTTGATATTATTGTTTTCCACTGCCTACTTTAATAAATTTTTAATTGACTCATATCTCACGAACGGTTGGTTTTAGGCACATGGTACTAAAACTTGTTAAAAGACAATTAAACAAGTAATCCAAAAGTGGTAAAATATACAAAGTGTTCCATTAAAAAAAATAAAGTTGATGTCATTTCCGGTGAAACAGAAAACAGCATTAATTTAGCATCTATCTCAAACGATAGATGACAAAAAATGTTCAACTTTGTTCTAAGAAGTATTGTCATAACTTTAAAAATAATGGAGTTATGGCTTGGGGCGTTTTTCATAATACAGCCTGTATAAGCCGTCAATTGAGGGAAAAATTGACCTCAAAGATAATCTATGAAAATTTTCAGGCGATTTGACTTCCAACGTCTCCGACACGGGGATCGGGGAGCTGCACACGAAACGCGTGGCCAAACAGCTGTCCGCAGCCCTGGAGCACCTCCACACCCGCGACCTGGTGCACCGCGACGTAAAATTGGACAATATCCTAGTGTTTAAGTCGGACTTTTCGCGTATTAAACTTTGTGATTTTGGTGAGACGCGACGTGCAGGTTCCGTGGTGATGCGACGAAACGAATGGTTGCCCTACGCCCCCCCAGAGGTGCTCCAAATTGCCACCGATGGGAGCTACATGTCAGTACTTCCAACTCGCTTTCACAAAATTAACAATTTTTTACAGGACCAACACGAGTCATGATGTTTGGCAGTTTGGAATTGTGATATTTGTGTGTTTGACTGGATGTCTGCCGTGGCAGAAGGCGGCCCCTGATGACCCCAGGTACTCCAGATACATGTCCTGGCAAAGCACCACTATTCCTCTTAAAAGACAGCCAAAGTTGTTTAAATTGGTGTCGTCCAAAGCCCAGAAACTCTTCAAGAAGTACTTGGAGCCGAAGCCTGAGAAGAGGCCCGCGGGGCTTGCGGAGGTGCACCGGTTTTTGGAAGACCGCTGGATGTCCAAAGGGGGGATGGAGAAGACGAGTGAGTTGCCAGATGAGGAAGAAGGGCTTTGTCCATCAATGTACAGCTTCCACAGCAGTCCGGAGGAAAAAAATAAACTACTTTTCACTTTAACTCAGTATGGGCTTGAGACAACCGTTGATAGAACGGCCAAAAAAGACCGAATCCGTCAATGGATCCAGTCTAGTGTCATTGAAGAAGAAAACGAAGAAGAAATTGAAGCATTGAGCGATGAAGATATCGGCATTCATGACAACCAAACCGGACCTGTGGGGGAGCGAAATGAGTCACGGGGACCCATCGCTGACCCCAAAATCAACGGGCATGCCCTTGAAACCGATAAAAATCGAAGACGAAGAGCCTCAGTGGTCAGTCTTCGCAAAATTCCAGACTATTATATCCCTCCAATTGACCCAAGAATCCCTCTCGAGGAACAAAAAGAAAAAAACGTTTCACGCACTCAAATCATCAATGGAAAGAAAGAAAAAACGGGAGAGGAATTTTCTATAAGCAAAGCATTGCCATTCCAGAATTTACAAGTGGTGAACTCGCTGTCATCACTTGATTCCAGTGATAGTAGCAATACTGTAAAGCACAAAATTAACATACAGTTGCCCCAATCGGAGAAATACGTTTATGGGTCAACCCCGAAACCAAACGGGGTTAGTAATGGGGTGAGAAGGTCACCCCCTGTTAACATTAGAGGGACCGAAAAGATATACAGGGCGTATTCTGCGACGGAAGTTCGGGGAAATGGACATTACTCAAGGAAATAAATGCTCAAAAATGTGACTGACTGTTATTTATATTTGTAAATATTTATGTGTTACTATATTTGTATCATGGAGTGATTAATGATTTGTTTTAGGCTAATAGAGTAAAAAAAGTTTTCTTAAAAACAACGTTGTCTTTAAATTTCGTGCAAACGTACCCAAAACCCTAGATTTTAGTTAGGGATTTTCTATTTAAAACTAGCAATAACCTCAAACCTCACAAATGTGTTTTTATAATTGCGTAAAAAAACAGTTGAAAACAGTGTTAAAATGGGAAAATTGAACGTAACAATAATGCGTTACCTCACCGGTGAGGATTTCCGGGTCTTAACAGCGGTAATTGAGCGGTTTTTCTTTCGTTTATTTTCCTAACCTCACTTTTCAGATTGAAATGGGCATGAAAAACCACGAACTAGTCCCGGGCCCCATGGCTGCGTCCATTGCGAATTTGCAACACGGTGGTGTTCATAAACTACTGCGTGATTTGTGCAAACACGGGTTATTGAGTTACGAGCGGGGGCGCAAATGTGGGTCAATTTGTTGTTCCAGACTTGAGTATTATTTTACTGGTTTCAGACGATGGTTACCGTTTGACTAACATGGGGTACGACTATTTGGCCCTCCATTCGTTAACAAAACGCGACGTGATTGGGTCTTTCGGGAACCAGATCGGCGTGGGGAAGGAAAGTAACATTTACATTGTTGCGAATCCTGAAGGAGAGGAAGTTTGTCTAAAGTTGCACAGATTGGGGCGCGTGTGTTTCCGGAATGTCACCAACAAACGAGATTATCATAAGCATAGGAAATCGGCGTCTTGGTTGTATTTATCACGGATTTCGGCCACCAAGGAGTTTGCTTACATGAAGGCGTTGTATGACAGAAAATTTCCAGTCCCTAAACCAATTGATTTTAACAGACATTGTGTCATAATGGAGTTGGTCAAGGGACGGCCTCTGTGAGTAATCAATTAATTGTATAATTGAAAGAAAAATTTTTTCTTCAGGTGTCATGTAATGGAATTAAATGATGTTGAAGCACTTTACGATGAATTAATGAATTTGATTGTTAAATTTGCCGACAGTGGAGTGATTCATGGTGATTTCAATGAGTTTAACATAATGATAACAGATGATGAGAAACCTGTAATCATTGATTTTCCTCAGATGATGTCAACAGCTCATGAAAATGCCGAAATGTTGGTTTGTTTCAATTTTGAGGAAAACATCTAATAATAATGTTGTAGGTACTTTAATAGGGACGTCAATTGCATAAAAACTTTCTTCAAGAAACGATTCGGTTACGAGAGTGAATTGTACCCCAAATTCAGCGATATTGAAAGAACTGATGCTTTAGACGCTGAAGTTTTATGTTCAGGGTTTACAAAAGAAATGGCCAAGGATATAAACCGCGAATTGGGTATTGATGAAGAAATAGAAAGTGAAGAGGAAGATAAGGAACAAAACAGTGAAGAAATCCGCTCTGTTGATTCAATTTTTGATCAAATGAAACTCCAAGACCAAGATTTTTACAAAAACGACTCAGATGTGGAATCTAACGATTCTTTTGATAGGTTTGAAAGTGGAAGTGTGAGATCTTGCGCAACGACAATTCATCCAGATGAAATAAAAAGTCGTGTTAAAAAACAATTGGTAAATAGGGAAAAGAAAACGCAGAGGAAGAAATGTGTGGCTAAGGGCGAAGCCAGCGCCACCACAAGGGTCAGAAGGGAAAATAATGACACCATTAGACAGAGCAAGGGGTTGTGGGGGTGGGAATGAAATGCAGAGTTGTATTCTTATTTTTATTTAATAAAAGTTTGTCTATTACAAGCGTTTTATTTCATTTCATAAAATGAGAAAATCAGCTGATTTTCTGCTATATTTTTCTCTATATTTGAAACCTGTGATGCCAACTTAATTTCATAAGCCAACAAAAATCAACCAAAAAAAAACAAAAATATAAATCAAAAAAATTAATAAAAATGTAAGGATTAAAACTTAAATTAAACAATTTCACAAAACAGTAAAGACCCAAAAATTAAAAAAAGTTTTTGTAAAAAATAAGCTTTTATTAAAAAAATGTACCAAGAAGTAAAAATTATTATTTTCTAATATTTCTTGCTAATAAAATTGCGACTCTTTTTGTTCGCCAATTATTCGTGTTCATTTCATATTATAATGGGAAATCAGTTGGTGGATTTTTGGTTCATTTACTGTCAAATTTCAACGAGTGGTGCCAACCTAATTTCAGTTTTTTCCCTAATAAAACTTTGCGAAATATGCCCGCGTCTTATTTAAAAAGTTTGAATCGTCTGACATCATAGAAAGTGTCCAGATTAATCGAAGTTCTTGGCAAGTTTTATTGGATTGGAGCGCGGAAAAGTTGTATGAAAAATGTGGTCGTGTTCTTATTGTAGCCAATGTTATTAAAAACATGTAACAAGAGCGTAATTTATTCATGCAAAGTCGTGTTAGACGTTGAAACAGTTGGGTGACGAATGCATTTAATAATTCATGTTGCTGGAACGTCGAGTCTTGTTTGCAACTCGTGTTAATCAGGACTATTAAAGATTAAGACGTCAGACTAGTAGGAAAACTGGCGTCCCCTCTACCTACCCCCACTCTAGCAAGTTTTCTGTATTACCGGTAACATAAACCAGAAGAAGGGAAATTGGAAGTAATGCGGTCGAAAGCCATTTGCATTTTAAAGCATTAGTTTCGCTGTGGCTGATTTAGACGTCTCGAGCGCTTCTTTGATGTCGACGCTCGATCATTAGGGGCTTCCCCGAGTTCGTTAGGCCGAACAAAGCCTTCCGATTTGCCGAAAATCTCCCGAGTGTGTGACCAGAGGGTCCACAAATTGAATAAACTCGCTGATTTGTGTATTCAGGTCGCGTTTTGTTTCACGAGAGGGCACATAAATATTTTACCGAGCGGTTCCCCCAAGGTGCAGAGTTTTTTTCAATGTTTAGCTTACAAAATCACTCAACAAGAGAAAGGCTCGAGGCGAACCGATCAGAAACAGATTTGGATTCGCTCAACTTACGACAGCCGCCTCCAACTAATCACTAATTAATGCAATGAGAAAAGTTGGAATAACTCCGGAGTTACTCGAGAAATTCCTCTTTATACTAATTGGTAAACAAAGTTGCTCAAGTTAGCACAGCTTCAATACAGGGTGTTAAAAAAAGATTGTAGAATATTTTAGGAGGTGATAGTACGCACCAAAACAAACAAAAAAGTCTTAACAAAGTAATGATTTCGGATTGAGAATTTAAAGAACAAAAAAATAAAAACGAGAAAATCAAATAAAAAACTGAGGATGTCGAAAGAATATTAAGAAAATGAAGATGATGATGAAGGAAATATTGACAGTTTCTTAAATTTTATTCTTTTTTGGTCATACGTTTTACATATACTTACCGAAGCTCTTTTGCTTTTTTCTTTTATTATATTCTAACAATTTTTTAAAGTTTTTAGAAATTTGGTCTGGTATACCAGGTTGAATGTCGCACCCTTATAACTTAATTATTTCAAATAATATGCTTCATTAAGTATATACAGGGTGTTCGGTTTTTTTGTTACAAAGAGTTGGTACAGCTGATTACTTTTAAACACCTGAACGAATTTAAAGATCAGTTGTCGAATTTTTTAATCACGAGTTTCTTAAACGGTGATACAAATTTAATTTTTGATTTTTATCCTCTTTATAGTCTGTAAGACAAATTGTAAACTGATTTTACTCAAAAACGGTAAGTTTTATCGAAAAAACGCAAGAGACCTCTTTTTTGTGAAAAACTATGAAATTTAGAATTTTGCGGCTGAAAGTGGCAAAAACCAACCTCCAAAATAGTTAGGGTACTTTTTACCCTAAAGCCCCCAGTTTAGGACGCACCCCTTTTAGGGGATGTGGTTCCCTTATAGGTATAAAATTTTTCGATATTTGTTTATAGGAAACTTTTATCTTAAAATTGAACATTCTATCACCTGTTTAAATTTGTAACAATGAAAATGGAACACCCTGTATTTTCGTAAATCGCACGTCAACCGCTGTCAAACTGGCGTAAAAATAACTTGTGGCAAAATAACGATAATCAACTGTTTTTTTTTTTTTTTTAACAGGGCGGTATAAATGTTTAAAGAGACATGTTCAAAAAAAACATTTTCACATTTTCATATTTTTATTTTTTTTTTACTTTGTAAATTACAGCAAAACTCCAACAAACTGTAGATATAATATTTTGACGCTTGCTTATGAAAAATATTCCGAATCGATTGCAAAATTCAATAGTTAACAAGTTTACAATATGTAGAATGTTCCGAGAAATCGATTGTCGTCGAGAAAACTGCAAAATTCTTGATCGTTTAGAAGTTACAGTTGAATTAATTTTTTTGATATTTTTGACTTTATCAACAATTTTCTTGATCTTGTTTTTGTATGATAAAAAATTAAGTTTGCTTTTTAATGGTGACCAAGCAAAAGGGGCGAGCGCCAACAATTCCCGAGTTATTAGGAATAAAACGATCCGGGTACTAAAAATCGACCAAAATTTCGTCAAAAATAAATAAATAACTTTGAAATTGAGCAATTTGCACTGTTAGGGGTGCAAGAAACTTAGTAAAGTGCAAAACATTATAGAAGACTCAGAAATGCACATAAAACGTTAAAAAAATCGATTTTCTTGAGTTTACAAAACAAAATTAAAAATTTACCGACATGCAAAAAATTAAAAAGCTGCTATTCACGAAACGCCGACGAAAAAATGAACCAATAATGACAATTAAGTCTGCAAATGTGGTTCCTACCATTTTAAGTTACTTTAAGTTTAATTCGTTCACACAAACTTATTAAACCGGCGCATCCGCCATTCTCCCCTAAATCCCAGTCACGCATCTTATTTTTAATTCCATATGAATGTAAAAATTCAATTTACTCTTGTTCGAAACTTTCCCCGAATACGAAAAATTAATAAACCCGGTCGCAAGTTTCGTTTATTTTCCATCAAAGTATAATTTTACCACGACCGCATCAGAATTCACCCCCACATGCCGCTCACATGCCCGGGAAGAAATTAGCAAAGGAACAAAGCTTATGAGCGGAAATGGCAAAAATATAGCGGTTTGAGTGGAAACGGCGTTGAATAATTCATCTGCGGGCCTCGACTTGGAGTGGAGTTTAGATTTGGTCTTGTATTGACAAGAAGTTCGACGCCAATCGCGTGTCGGTTCTTGAATTGCAATAAACAAGAAAGGCTTATTGACAGCAAATCCAATAACAACGAGGCACAAGCGTAAAAATTTGCATTTTTAGTCATTAATGGGGCATTGATTGGTTGTCTCATTTGTGTTTCTCATCTGTGGTGTGAAATATGACAGTGACACGGAGTGACAGAGGTCGTAAAGCATGATATACGTTCAACATTGCCGCTGCCATTCCCAAAACGAGACAATTTTTATCTAAGGTAAAGCTGGAGCGGGGCCATTAGTCAAAAAGCACAGGTCTCGGGGTTGCAATTAGTTTAACTCGACAAAAATGATGACATAGGCAACGAGACTAATGACATATTCGAACGATCACAAGCTAAAACGGCCAATTAATTTTATTGTGGCCGGCGATTTGTTCGTGCTTTGTAAATTGGAAACGGTTTCAATTCGACATAACAATGACTCGTTTTTATGCAAATTATTCCATCAAAAACGGACGATTGCACTGTGTTTTTGCACACGCGATGATTACGAGCGAATATCGAATGTAATGAAGGGACTAATTGCCCACTGCAACGATACGAGCATTAATTTGCCCAAAAACCTGGCGCATCCACCATTTTCAAAATTATTCATATACGTTTGGGTGTTAAAAAAAGATTGTAAAATATTCAAGGAAGTAATAGTATGGACCAAAATAAACAAAAAGGTTTTAATAAACATGATTTCGCAAAGTAACGCTTTCAAAGAAAACGTGAAAATTTTTAGAATTCTTACTAAAAGCTCCTCTTTTTTGTTGAAACAGATTACTAAAGCTCGGATTATATGCACGTAAAATATGCGCATATATATGCACGTATTTTTACAAAAATATGCACAAAATAATAAAAAATATGCTCCAATATATGCCAAATATGCATCGATATGCAAAATTTTTAACAAAAAAAAATCAAAGTTGGGATAAATTTTTCGAATACACTAAACTTTGTATTTTTGTCATCTTGAACTGCACACGATAAATGAAAAAATAAATAAATTGGTTTGGCGTGAGACAAGCCATTTTAATAACCTAGTAATTAAACCCTTTCTAAGAAATCTGTACTTTTCAGATCACATCACGTTTTTTGCTTAAAGTATTTATTTTTTGAAAAAACTAATTGATGAATTATAAAGTTCTATAGAAATGTGATGTTTTATCAAAAATAAATTTTTTAACATTTTTATTATTTTGTTTTTGAGTTCTACAAAAATATTTATTTTTTTAAAAGGGCAACCCACCAAAAAAACATTTTTCTCATGAAAGTCATGATCTAAGGGATTACAACTGTCTACTACTATATTAATTTTTTTTTACCTATGTATATCGCAATTTAGACAACAAAAATCGAATAACTCAAAAACAAAACAAAATTTTGTTCTTAAAAAATCATTTTTTATATTACTTTAATTTATATTAATTATTTTTTGGAAACAAATGATTAAAAAAAAAACCGCTTAGTTTAATACTTTATATTCACCCAGTATAAAACGAATTTAAAAAGGAAACACTCAGCAGGGTACTAATTTTTTGAGTTTGGCTTACGAATTAACGGTTGTTTTCTCTTTAAAATATTTTGTAATCGGTTC